TACTACGGATTTTGTTAAATCACCGTTTCCCCTTAATAAATATTTCACTCTGTCTCTCTGACGAGTGAAGTTAATCACTCTGCAAATATCCATCTTACAGAGCACGGCAGGGACAGGCATAATGTATGGGGGACCTACAGAAAACCCTGGAAACTCAGCTTTCATCTTTCAAAAAGGTCCCCACTGAAGGTGTGGGTCGCTCCTGTTCACCAGCAGGGTCCAGGCTCCGTTCCCAGGGTTGCAAAGAAGCTCTTTAAAATTTCAAAAACCAGCAGTAAACGCGTTAAAGCCACCAGAACACATCACGTGGGGTCGGAAGGGACCTCTGGAGATCATCTAGTCCAACCCCCCTGCCAAAGCAGGTCCACCTAAAGCAGGTTGCACAGGAACGTGTCCAGGGGGGGTTTGAATGTCTCCAGAGAAGGAGACTCCACCCGACGGCCTGGCTGATCTATGAAGCTTTTGGAGCTTCCTGCACGGGTTTGCACAAACAACGACAAAATCCTCAATTGTATTCAGACCTAATTAAAAACCCCTTTGTGACTTTTCCTGTAGCGACTCGCTGAGGGTTTCTTTTCTAAAAAGCTTTTGCTTCTCAGGGGACGGAGTCTGCGGGGCTGGAGGTTGGGGGAGAAGCTGATGGAGCAGGTCTCTGCACGCATCAGGGCACTGACAGTTGGGGTCACACTTCACAAAGGTTTCATCTTTTGGGAGGGAGGAGGGGGTGGGGGGCGGAAAATAACGGTATTAATGAAGGGTTCGGTGCACATCGTGTCCCGGCTGCCACCTAGTGCTCGTCACCGCCGTGGATGCTCCCAGCTCTTGGGCATCGCACGAGGGGACATCTGGGTGGGCTTGTGCAATTGCACGAGGACTCAGGGACATCAGGGTGGGCTCGTGCGGGGGCACAACAACCTGGGGGACATCAAGGTGGGTTTGTCCAGGGCGACAAGAAACAGGGGAACACCCGGGCAGACTTGTGCAAGTGCACAACGACTCTGGGAGGACACGGGGCCGGGCTTGTGCAATTGCACGAGGACTCAGGGAGATCGGGGTGGGCTCGTGCGGGCCCACAATGAAATTGTATTCAGACCTAATTAAAAACCCCTTTGTGACTTTTCCTGTAGCGACTCGCTGAGGGTTTCTTTTCTAAAAAGCTTTTGCTTCTCAGGGGACGGAGTCTGCGGGGCTGGAGGTTGGGGGAGAAGCTGATGGAGCAGGTCTCTGCACGCATCAGGGCACTGACAGTTGGGGTCACACTTCACAAAGGTTTCATCTTTTGGGAGGGAGGAGGGGGTGGGGGGCGGAAAATAACGGTATTAATGAAGGGCTCGGTGCACATCGTGTCCCGGCTGCCATCTAGTGCTCGTCACCGCCGTGGATGCTCCCAGCTCTTGGGCATCGCACGAGGGGACATCTGGGTGGGCTTGTGCAATTGCACGAGGACTCAGGGACATCAGGGTGGGCTCGTGCAGGAGCACAACAACCTGGGGCACATCAAGGTGGGTTTGTCCAGGGCGACAAGAAACAGGGGAACACCAGGGCAGACTTGTGCAAGTGCACAACGACTCTGGGAGGACACGGGGCCGGGCTTGTGCAATTGCACGAGGACTCAGGGAGATCAGGGTGGGCTCGTGAAGGGGCACAACAACTTGGAGGACATCAAGGTGGGCTTGTGCAGGGCAACAAGAAACAGGGGAACATCAAGGCAGACTTGTGCAAGTGCACAACGACCTGGGGGACATCAAGGTGGGCTTATCCAGGGCAACAAGAAATAGGGGAACACCAGGGCAGAGTTGTGCAAGTGGGGCCCACAATGACCTGGGGGACATCGGGGTGGGCTTGTCCAGGGGCACAACAACCTGGGGGACATCAAAGTGGGCTTGTGCAGGGGTACATGAAACAGGGGAACACCAGGGCAGAGTTGTGCAAGTGCACAACGACCTGGGGGACATCAAGGTGGGCTTATCCAGGGCAACAAGAAATAGGGGAACACCAGGGCAGAGTTGTGCAAGTGCACAACGACCTGGGGGACATCAAGGTGGGCTTATCCAGGGCAACAAGAAATAGGGGAACACCAGGGCAGAGTTGTGCAAGTGCACAACGACCCTGGGGGATGTTGGGACGGGTTTGTGCAAGTGCACAAGGACTCAGGGACATCAGGGTGGGCTCATGCAGGGGCACAATGACCTGGGGGACATCGGGTGAGCTTGTGCAGGAGCACAACAACCTGGGTGATATCAGGATGGGCCATCAGGGTGGGCTCGTGCAGGAGCACAACAACCTGGGTGATATCAGGATGGGCTTGTGCAGGGGCACAACGACCTGGGGGACATTGGGGTGGGCTTGTGCAAATGCACGAGGACTCAGGGAGATCGGGGTGGGCTCGTGCAGGAGCACAATGACCTGGGGGACATCAAGGTGGGCTTGTCCAGGGGCACATGAAACAGGGGAACACCAGGGCAGACTTGTGCAAGTGCACAACGACTCTGGGAGGACACGGGGCCGGGCTTGTGCAATTGCACGAGGACTCAGGGAGATCAGGGTGGGCTCGTGAAGGGGCACAACAACTTGGAGGACATCAAGGTGGGCTTGTGCAGGGCAACAAGAAACAGGGGAACATCAAGGCAGACTTGTGCAAGTGCACAACGACCTGGGGGACATCAAGGTGGGCTTATCCAGGGCAACAAGAAATAGGGGAACACCAGGGCAGAGTTGTGCAAGTGCACAACGACCTGGGGGATGCTGGGACGGGCTTGTGCAGTTGCATGAGGACTCAGGGATATCAGGGTGGGCTCGATATCAGGGTGGGCTCGTGCTCGTGCACAACAACCTGGGGGACATCAAGGTGGGCTTGTGCAGGGCAAGAAGAAACAGGGGAACACCAGGGCAGAGTTGTGCAAGTGCACAACGACCCTGGGGGATGTTGGGACGGGTTTGTGCAAGTGCACAAGGACTCAGGGACATCAGGGTGGGCTCATGCAGGGGCACAATGACCTGGGGGACATCGGGTGAGCTTGTGCAGGAGCACAACAACCTGGGTGATATCAGGATGGGCTTGTGCAGGGGCACAACGACCTGGGGGACATTGGGGTGGGCTTGTGCAAATGCACGAGGACTCAGGGAGATCGGGGTGGGCTCGTGCAGGAGCACAATGACCTGGGGGACATCAAGGTGGGCTTGTCCAGGGGCACATGAAACAGGGGAACACCAGGGCAGACTTGTGCAAGCACACAACGACCTGGGGGGACACGGGGCCGGGCTTGTGCAAGTGCACGAGCACCTGGAGGAGATCGGGATGGACTTGGGCGAGTAGACAACAACTTTTTTTGGGGGGGACGACACCGGGATGAGCTTCTTGCAAAGGCCCAACAACTTGGGGGGGTCTCGGGGCTGGTGTCACGCGTGTGGCGCAAGCAGCGTGACGTAACGACGGCCG